AGCTCAGTTGCTTGAGATAGCAATAGCTCTCGAAGCATCAAACCAGCAGTTTATCTGGGCGGTGACGCAGAATACAATCAACGAAGAGCAGAATGAGTGGATACCAGAAGGATTTGAGGAAAAGCTGAACGTGAACGGACGAGGTTTGATAATAAAAGGATGGGCACCTCAGGTGCTAATCCTTGATCATGAAGCTATTGGAGGTTTTGTGACTCACTGTGGATGGAACTCATTGCTCGAAGGAGTAAGTGCCGGAGTGCCAATGATCACATGGCCGCTATCAGCTGAGCAATTTTTTAATGAAAAGCTACTAGTAGAGATATTAAAGATTGGAGTTCCAGTAGGTTCTGAGGCTTGGTCTAATAGAACAGATAGCACAGTCCCAATAAACAGGAAAGACATAGAAAGAGCAGTGACCAAAGTGATGGTTGGTCAGGAAGCTGAGGAGATGCGAGGCCGTGCAGCTGCCTTAGGAGAATTGGCTAAAAGGGCTGTGGAGAAAGGTGGATCATCTCACAACAGTTTGATTTCCTTACTAGAACAATTGAGGAACGCGAAAATTACCTCTAACTGATGGGAATTTCTTCATATGTTGCTGAAACTAAACCACTACAGAAATATTGTATCTTCGCGTTTACATCAATTTCAAATTATGTATACCAAATTACACTTTTATCAGTATGCAGGAGTTCTTATGCATAGTCCATAGACCAGTTCTATGATTGTTGCAAAAATATCATACCAAATGCTTATTGGTGGCATCAAATTATATCATTAATGTTATAATCGTTAAATAAACCTTAAAAAAAATTGTGTAGAATATTATTATATTATTCCATTAAGTTGTGTCAAACAGGATAATTCAATAAAAAGAGAGATGTTAAGTAATTGAATGTTTGGTAAATACCTATTGGCACCTTGTGTTTTACATTAATCATACATATGTTTTACTACTAACTTGAATGGAAGGTAAATACTTTTCTGGAAACTCTTGAATAAAAAGGATCATAACATACTAAAAATGCATATGAACTTAAAAAATAAGTATACAAAAGGAAAAAGAGTGAGTTGAGACAGTTCAACTATGAAAGGAATACGTGCACTAGAAGAAAAGGGAACAACGGCAAAGTCTTTACACCCTCAATATTCTTTTTTTTTATTTTATAAAATTACAATGAGTATACTATTATTATTTTTATTTCTATTAGATCATATACCTATAATTCATTAAATTTAAATTCTCGATAGTAGGTTGGACGTGTAAAATCATCAATTAACCAAAGAAATTGAAAACAGGGAAAGATAATCGTATAAGCTACTCGAAAACCGTGCAAAACTGATTTGAATTTGAAAGCAAAACAAGTACTTGCTTATAAAATGAAAAATATCATAAAAGAAATTAACTTTTGGATAATTACAAATTACAATTCAAACAACATTAAGAATGGTCAAGATTTTCATAATTTAAAAGGTTCACACAATTCACGAATAGCACGAAACTTGTATTTTCCCTATTTCAACGGAGATGAATTCTATGTATTTAGACACACACCCCAAATATCCTCAAATTCATATATTTTCTCTTTACATTTCCACCATTAATCACAATATTTAAAATCATTTTTACTCATTAATCACAATTTATTTATTTTTGCTACAAAAACAGAAGCTACTCCAACCTCTATACCGATTAACGTCAAGAATTAGGGAAAGGCACAATATGCAGCAAGAGTGACAAAACTTCCTAACTGCCCACATCCAACCATTTCAAATTAAAAAAGAATTACTACTAAATTAGCTTCACTTATTTGCCCAAAACTACTTCTCCTCAAGCTGTAGCTGAAATCCGTGGTGTCATATTTTTGGCAGTTCCATTTGCCATACCACCACCACCACGATTCATTCGCCCATTGTTGTCACTTCGCTGATAGCCATCACCACCTCCACGGTTGGATGACCCTCCTCTGTTGTTGAACTCACTTCTTCCATTGAAATCACCGCGATTATAGCCCCTCCAACTTCCATTGTAGTTTCCTCGCCCACGTACTCCATCATTCCTGAATCCCTAGTGTTACCTCGAGAACTGGTAGACTTCTTCTCTTCAACGGCAGCTTGGCGTCCACCAATTAAAATTGGAGAAGCCTCAATTGCTTTTTGCACAGCAATTTCCACCTAAAATTCCACAAAGCCAAAACAAAATCCCTGTTGTCTGTTACTTCGGACTTGAATGCCTCCATTCTTTATAGGTCCAAACTTCTTGAACTCATCTTCAAGCATGGTGGCGGTGGCACTCATAGGTAGACCTTTGATATAGATGGAGTGTCCATCAGCTTCTCCCTCTTGGTTATTCACATTATCAACAAAGTCTAAGCTTAAAACAGGGCTATCAGCTGGTACTGGTGCAAGAGGTTGTCTCACTTGCTCAACATTCTTAGGCACAATCTTCCTAGGAGCAGGTGCTGGAGGAGGGGAGAAAGTTGCAGCACTTTCCTTTAGATGCATGACAATTGAAGCATAAGACTTCTTTGGGACTTCTTCAATTATGATGGTGTGCTCTGCTCAGAAATGTGATTCTCCTGAGCTGGAGGGGGATCTGCAACAATTTGCTCTGGAGTAATAGGAGACCAACATATCAATTTCTGGAACCAAGAAGAAGATTAAAACAAAGAAAATAAAAAAATATGACTTTTTTCAGGCCTTTGTTCTTATTTCTTCTTACATTTTTTGTCCTTTCATCTGCTCTTGACATGTCCATCATCAGTTACGATGAAAAACATGCAGATTTAGGGACAACAAATCATCATACAGACGATCAAGTTAACGGATTGTATGAATCTTGGATTGTTAAACATGGAAAGAATTACAATGCCATTGGAGAAAAGGAGAAACGATTTGAGATTTTTAAGGATAATTTAAGATTCATCGACGAGCAAAACGCTGAGACCAGACCGTATAAACTTGGGTTGAATCGATTTTCTGATCTTACCAACGATGAGTACTGTGCCGTGTTCGCTAAAAAGACGAGGCTGTTGAAGAACCCTAAAAGCGAACGTTACGCTTTTAAGTCCGGCGAAGAGTTGCCGGAATCCGTTGAATGGAGACAGAAAGGCGCTGTTGCCCCTGTTAAAGACTAAGGCCAATGCGGTGAGTTTTTTTGTATTTTCTCTGTTGGAGGAAGATTACTTTCAATGGAGTGTTGACAAGAGTCTTATTTAGGTCAAAAGTTTTGATTTGTATGTTGTGTTTGACCTATTTTGTCAACAGCAAACCCGTTATAATTGGGGTTTGGAAAGGATAGTATATACACAGACTTGAAAACACATAATTTGTTTTCGATTGACCTTGGCTCATAAATTTGTTGATTAAGCATGTGAGATATCGTATGTATATCTACTGAAGTTGTATATTTTTCTTATGAAGGGAGTTGCTGGGCATTCTCGACGGTTGGTGCTGTTGAAGGAATAAATCAATTTGTAACCGGTGAATTGATTTCCCTCTCTGAACAAGAGCTTGTTGATTGTGACAAGAGCTATAACCAGGGTTGTAATGGTGGTCTCATGGACTACGCCTTTGAATTCATTAAAAACAACGGTGGCATTGACACTGAGGCTGCCTATCCCTACCGTGCTAAATATGGTACTTGTGATTCAAACAGGGTATGTTAGACCATACTTTCTAGAAAACATCCAAAATATTACTCATGTATTGATAGTCTGCTAACAATTTTGTCTTTCAGAAAAATGCCCGGGTTGTCTCCATTGATGGATATGAAGTTGTTCCCATAAATGATGAGAAGTCATTGATGAAGGCATTGTCAAATCAAACAGTTAGTGTTGCTATTGATGCTGGTGGCAGAGCTTTCCAGCATTACTTTTCGGTATGAGAACAATTCTCTTAATGTACCCTTTTAGTATGTGGTCGGATCAAGTCTAGTATTGTCTGTACCTAAACCCATTGACTCTAAGTTTTGGATTAGTTCCTACGATTCTAGTTTATGCCTAATCTGCAATCACGGCTTCTAACGCCTTGTTTTTTCTACTAAAAAAAACTACCATACTCATTTACACTTTCTTTTCCTTTTCAAATCATGAAGATGTTTTCACTGGATACTGAGGAACACAACTAGACCATGGTGTAGTTGCAGTTGGTTACGGAACAGATAATGGTTCAGATTATTGGATTGTGAGGAATTCATGGGGTCCTAACTGGGGGGAAAGTGGATACATTAGGCTCGAGCGCAATTTAGCTAATAGCACTAGTGGAAAGTGTGGAATTGCAATGGAGCCCTCTTACACTCTTAAGAATGGCGCAAGTCCTTCTAATCCCGGTCCATCTCCTCCTAATCCTGTAGCACCATCAACCGTTTGCGATAAGTACTATAGCTGCACCGAGGGCACTACTTGCTGCTGCATTTATAAGTATGGCGGCTACTGTTTTTGCTGGGGATGTTGTCCTTATGAGTCTGCTACCTGCTGTGATGACAACAACAATTGCTGTCCACATGATTATCCTGTCTGTGATGTTAATGCAGGCACTTGTCAAATGGTAAGATTTTACTCCTTCCTTCCCAAAATAGGCGTTTGTTTTTTTGGCAAAATTACTAAACTACACTACATATGTTTATATATTCTCGTTTAATCCCTACTCTTTCATAAAAATTCAAAAATCCCTATTTTTCCCCAAACCCTCTATTCCGGATACGTTATTTTGAAAGAACCCAAAACCCACCTTTCTCATCCCCAAAATCTCGCCTCTAATCTTTCCCCACTACCAAATCAGTTATCGAATTCAAAGCAATTTGATTTTCAAATGATTCTATCTCTATTCAACCGTCCAAAGTTCAAAATAGGTATTATCATCTTTTTCATTTTTCTTTCAAAATTAATTTTTGTGTTTCAATCGATTTTGGATCAGTTGTCAAAATGGATCATCCGTCTTTTAATATTGGGATTTCCCAAATAATAACACCTAACAATGATCAAAATTTGATTCAGAGACCCCAACTGGGCAGAACAGAGGTCTAAAAGTTTGCATGCACCGGCATTAATGGCAAATCAAACTTCTATGAAGAGAAAATCGAAAAAGGAAGTGGGGGCATCATCTAAAGCAAAGGGTGCAAAAACTCAAAAGAAGAGGGATAGAACGGTTGCCCCCACCCATTTCTCGACCAACACTACCCATGGTATGCATTTCTTTTGCTTTTAATTTAGACATTGTTGAACAATAAAGTTTTATTGTATATATTGAAATCTGGAGTTGTTACCCAGAAACACTGATTGTTTTATCAAATGTTGGTATTGAGTATAACTTTTACATTTGTAGATGAAAGACTATTTTTTGTCAATTTTTTTGTGTTGAGAACTGTATCTAAGATAGGCGTTCAATTCACAGTATGATATGTAGGTTGTTTGTTGTACAATGTATCATATTCATAGATATTCACATGAATGATACGTAAACATAATATAATAGATCTGGTAGTTAACATTTTGTATCATATTTAAATATAAGTCGGTGTATATACAGAAGTTATATGATTTTGTGTATTAGTCATGTATTGTTATTATGTAGTATAAAATGATCTTAAACATAATATTTTGAATCAATATATGGCCTTTCCCTTTTAGTTCTGTATGCATCATTTATCGGTTTAGTGATTGATCAACATCATTTATGTTTATGAAATTGCAGAATATGAAATATGTAATTAAACATATTCCAAAGCAACCCCTAAAGTTTGGTCCTATTTACAACTCAAATTTTAATGAAAACTTAGTATTGTCAATAAACGATGAAGGTATGAAATTATTTAAGGTTACTATATTTGGCCAATACCTTAATATCCCCAAGTGCCACTACCAAGGACAAATTACCAAGTGTTTATATCTTCTAGAGGTTGAGCATGACAATTTAGACAAAGAAATACATATTCGTCATGCCAAAGGAAATGTATTGCAATTTAGTATCAGAGAATTTGCTATTATTACTGGTCTGAAGTGTACCGAAAATATTAAAGGTTTTACATATTCGGATTCAAAAACTAGTAGGCTGGTTAAAAGATACTTTCTGTTGGGTTCTGAAGGGTGATTAGGGCGTTATGCGGAAGTTTACAATTTGCAAATCATATAGTTGATAAATCAGCTAACAAAAAACTTATACTAAAAATCAAAATATTATTATATCAAAACTAATATAAAGAAAAACATTGAAACTTTAGAGAGAATAAATCTCCCCATAAACAAGACTCTTAAACGACTACATTGTGGATGTTATTGTTATTGTGTTAGAAGAAACAAACTTATATTTATAGAGTCCTAAAACCGTTCCTACTAGAAAAGGAGTCCTAAAAGGAGAGAATAAACCAAATATAAAATAATATTATATTTTCCTTTCAAGAAAAGTAAAAACATTTATGGTAATGTTTTGTTTTTCTTTAAGGAAAAATAAATCTTTAAATTATGATAAGAAAATCAGGGCAAAACCCTAACACTTTCCTGGTCCAAATTATAATGTAAACAAAGAATAACTGGTAGATCGTTTTGATATGGGTGGTTGGGACAACACTGATGATTGCCCTTCAGATGACTATATTGTATTTCATTCATACCTTTGTATTCTCACAACTTGGTGATGCACCAATTCCTATTGAAGATTTCTTAATGATAGAATATGACAGCTATCAACAGTTTCCGTGGGGACAACTTGCCTTCACAAAGTTAATGAAATCATTTAGGAAAGAGTACAAACCTAACAAACAAATGTATCGCTTGAATGGATTTCCATACGCACTTAATATCTGGGTAAATGAATGTGCATCTGTAATACATAACGAGATAGCTGTTAAAGAAGGAAATGGTATACTAAGGGTATGCAATTGGAAAGTTGTGGGTTCAAAGCCTAAATTTAAGATGTTTATGGAAAACATCTTGACTGAGGTAATTAGTACATAACAACCTTTTTTACTTTATTTTTTTATTTGCGATACATTATTTAACTGGTTCTCATGATGTTTTATTTTTTGTTTCTATAGAATGATTGTTCTAACGTTCAGTCAACTCAAGAGGAAATCAGATCACTTGATTTACCAAATAACAGTTATGTACCTCCAACTCAACCATCCACATCAAATGTTAATCATGAGAAGGTGCAACCAGATGAGGTTCCTGGATTTGAAGAGTTTTCATCAAAACCTCCGGAGCAACTGTTAAGGAGATCCATATGAATTTCTACCAAGGATCCACCCCACCCCCCCAAGAGAAGAAAGGTTGCACATCCAACAAAAAATAATGTGCCCAAAGCCACACAACCAGATGAGCAACCGAATCAGCCATTTCAAACTCCGGATTCACAACCACCACAAGTCGATAATGTATCTGGTGTTCCTCATAATACAGTTTTCGAAGAACAATTTCGGACAATGCAGGACTTGAGGAACTGAAGGGTCACATGAAGTCTAATGTAAGTAAACATAATTATGTCATTTAAACATTTTCATGTTTATTGTTAATTCCACTTAATATGCTTAATTTGAATCTAAGTTGACAAAAAAATTGGAGCTCTTGAGGCGTTAATTAATAAAAAATCATTCTGAGTTGATGAAAGCAGTTGGCGCGAAAGATAACAAAAGTGATAAGGTAGTATTTTTATTTTTTAGCTTCCCTTTTCAGTTTTGTGTTATACTGATTTTTTGGAACATGAAGGACAATGGTGGCATTTCTATGCCACATATAGTGGATGATTCAGTAGACAAAGGTAATGTTGATCCACAATCCACTTCTGATCAATTCTTCCAACAAACCATTTCACCCATACAAATGGATTTTGCAACTGTTGATCATGATGTTGATGCATCTGCTGTGGAGGTTGAAAAACGACATGTTATCGAAGAAAATGTTGCAAAGGTATGTATTTGATACTTCAATTTAATTATATAACTTAATGTCTTTTAATCATTAGTTAATTCGATTAAAATTATTAACAATGTATCATTTAATAAGATTGATACTTTAGTAATTTTAATTCATATAATGAAATAAACGTTGCCTTTTTGTGTATCATTGACTGTATATTATTCACTAAAATCTTAGTTGATACTATATTTTTTTTATGAATCACCATTAACAAATACTTTATGATATATTTCCTTATATACTAATATACAAACACAGAATGATGAGACATCCATTAAGGAACATGCAATGAGAGATTCAACAGATGTTATACCCACAGCACACCATAGTCATGTTCCGATAGAAGAGATTGTTCATAATAAAGAACTGGTAAGTAAAGAGTTTTTGAATTGTTATAATCAATTATTTTTGAAAAAAAATCAAAATGTTGTGTAATATTCTGTTTATTAGGAGGATGCAGGAAATGAAGACCCCCAATTACACACAAAAGTATTAAGCGGTGATGAAGATGTTGCTAATACAATTCAACAAGACTTCGAAAAACATGCTTCAAATCCAATAATTGTTGATACATCGGTCTGATTCTAAATTGTTTACTGAAAAATGTCAACAGTTGCGTATGTAAATTGTAATATTTTGTTATAATTCCCTGATATCATGTAGGATTCTACCACATCGGCTTCTATTTCATCTAGCACTGAAGCAGTCATAGATGCAATTGTCTACAAACTTCCAAACGAGCCAATTAATGTCGCACCACTGAGTGTAATCATTCCTCTACAGCTAACCAACAATAGTGATTTTCTATCTGACAGCCAGCTACCCACCCAACTTCCAGTCAAGGAGTCTGCACACAATTTTGATACAAAGACTCCAGCTCCACGTAACAGAATGCCTTCAAAGATTTTTGCAGTCTCCTTATGTGAATACCTTTGGATCCAGTGATAAGGGCAAGGAAAAAATAGACGATGACATTCGCCCATATACTCCATTTGAAGGATGTGGCATTATCCATATCCACAAAACTTTGTTGTCTTCTTCGTAACATTAATTTTTTCAATTTGGAGTTTCTGCAAAAGCCAACTAAAGGATCTGGAAAGGGCACGAAAAATGGGTAGGAAAATATTTTTTCATAAACTTTTTTTTTCCTGGTGAAATTTTCCATTTATTTTTTGGGTCTTCTTTTCTCGTGGTATTTATAACTGTAATCTTTAATTGGGGTCTAATCACTCCATTTCAGTCTTTCTCTTTTTGAGACTCTCCCTAGTTGTTCATATGTAAGTGTAAAACATTAAAATATTGATGTAATTTTAATTTTCAATTGTTTGATTGCTCTGTTTTTCGGAGAGTTTTTGGAGGGGGAAGAAGTGTTTCTTTGGTGGTTGAGAAAGGAATGAAAGGAGAGAGAATTACTAATAACCATGGTTAATGATATTTGGTCAAGAAAATTAATCTGGTCCATTAAAAATTAAATGGACACGTGTCAATTATATGAAATAGCACTGGGGAGAACTGGAGAGATCATCACTGGAGAGGAGCCTCTTCCAAAAATCTTGTGCACGCCTCGCCTCACCTGTCAACCCCTCAAACTTTTCCAATTTCCATCGTGTTATAAAAAATTCTATTACTTCAGCATAATCATGATTTGTGTAAACCCCCAGTATATATATATACTTAATTATGATAAATTAAAATAGTTTGGTGCATGGAGGGAACGAGTTTTTTTATAAAAAAAAATCGTTCGATGTCTGGAGCTTGCATTGGAGCTTCAACTAAATTCGAATTGCGTATTGTAGAGGCCATTTAGGATGGCGCTCCCAACGTGATTTTCTGCGAGTGGAAATGGTGTGTTTGGTAAAATGATTTTACAATGTCTAATTTGATCCAATCAAGTCTGTGCAACAAGTCAACTATATTAAACAATTCAAACCTAACAGTACTCTATAAAACCTCAGCCAGACAGAAAGAAGAAAACATTGGAAACTAATTGCACATGACGACTAGAAAAATAAGCCAATCAATCCCATCTAGACATAAAAAAAATCATATAAACTTTAGAAATTTTACTTTTCTTGCAGATCACTCATATTTAATTGTAGACATGGCCAGGCAATTTTCCAGGCATGGTGTGAAGGCAACAATCATCACGACTCCTCTCAACGCGACTAAATTCTCAAAAACAATCCAAAAAGACAGAGAGCTTGGCAGTGATATTATCATCCGGACAACTGAATTCCCTTGTAAAGAAGCTGGATTGCCAGAGGGCTGTGAAAACTTAGCTTCTACTACTAGTTCAGAAATGAGTCTAAAATTCATCAAAGCCTTGTACTTGTTTCAACAGCCAGTTGAAAAGTTCATGGAGGAAGATCATCCAGATTGTCTAATAGCAGGAACTTTATTCCCATGGGCTGTTGATGTTGCAACCAAGTTGGGAATTCCAAGACTAGCTTTTAATGGCACTGGTTTACTTCCCATGTGTGCTTATCACTGTTTGATGGAACACAAACCTCATTTGAAGGTTGAATCCGAGACGGAAGAGTTTATCATCCCTGGCCTTCCTGACACAATAAAGATGTCAAGACAAAAGCTTTCAGAACACTTGAAGGATGAAAAAGAAACCCCAATGACTCCAATAGTTAAAGATTTTATGCGAGCAGAAACGACTAGTTATGGAGCTATTGTAAACAGCTTTTATGAGCTAGAACCAAATTATGTTCAATACTTCAGGGAAGTAGTAGGGAGAAAAGTGTGGAACGTTGGTCCTGTTTCGCTCTGCAATAAAGACAATGAAGATAAATCACAAAGAGGCCAAGACAGTTCCCTTTCTGAGCAAAAGTGTTTGGATTGGCTCAATACCAAGGAACCAAAATCAGTCATTTATATATGTTTCGGAAGCATGTCCATCTTTTCATCAGATCAGTTGTTTGAGATAGCAACCGCTCTCGAAGCATCAGACCAACAATTTATATGGGTGGTGAGGCAAAATACAACAAATGAAGAGTGGATGCCAGAAGGATTTGAAGAAAAGCTGAACGGACGAGGTTTGATAATAAAAGGATGGGCACCTCAGGTGCTTATCCTTGATCATGAAGCTACTGGAGGTTTCGTGACTCATTGTGGATGGAACTCATTGCTCGAAGGAGTAAGTGCCGGAGTGCCAATGGTCACATGGCCGCTATCAGTTGAGCAATTTTTTAATGAAAAGCTACTAGTAGAGATATTAAAGATAGGAGTACCAGTAGGTGTTCAGGCTTGGTCTCAAAGAACAGACAGCAGAGTCCCAATTAACAGGGAAAACATACAAAGAGCAGTGACCAAACTAATGGTTGGTCCGGAAGCAGAGGAGATGCGAGGCCGTGCCGATGCTTTAGGAAATTCGGCTAAAATGGCTGTAGAGAAAGGCGGATCATCTGACAATAGCTTGATTTCCTTACTAGAAGAATTGAGGATGGGGAAGAGCAACTCCAACTCATGGGAATTTGTTTAAATGTATTATTGTTACATCATTTATGTGTTAAGACAATTTGGACTTTCTTTGCTATATAATGCTAGCGTTTGGCCATAGATTGACAAATATTATTTGGGTGAAAATTTGGGTGTGTTTGGCCATAATATTTGGAAAACATATTTCACTTTTGTAGAAAAATATGATTTATACCCATAAGTTTTAAAAACGATCAAAACTAACCATAAGTTTGTATTACAAGTCAATTGGATCTTCGTTGCAACAAATGACAAGTAGTGTCTATGACACTGGAGCAATGTGGTAGTTTGGAGTGAGTGTAACAAGCATCATTCCATACATCGTGAAGTAGACAAAGCACATGACTTTATTATCTTGAGTCGATTGTTCATCATTTTCATCAACAACTATATCATTACTTTCATATTCATTGAATACTTTGGTATTCACGTAAAAAAAAAATGTAATACAATGCAAACAACTACTATAGAGGGTGTTTTTGTAAAAAATAAAAGTTTGGTGTAAAATTTCAATATTCAAAAGATCCCAAATAATGAGATTTGGCCCAAATACTAGAAAAGGCTAGTATTTGGATATTTGCTAATATTATTTGCCAAATAATGAAAAATTGTATGGACAAACACTATTTGCCAACTTTTTCTCCAAATATTACTTGGGAAATCTATGGCCAAACAGGTATAGTTTGATTTCCTTGAGAGTTTAGAAGTTTGTATTTTTTTTTTGACGAAAACATAGAGAAACAAATCCTAGACATAAAAATATGATAACAACAGGTCTAGTTTACTTGTCTTGAACTCAAATTTGAATTTTCAAAGTACAAAAAGTCAGCAATGGCACCTTATCTACCATAGAAAAGTAATGCTCCCATGAAGTCATTAGCAAAATCAGAATCCTTGTTTATCTATAAAACCATGACGAGCAAAGACGAATAGATATACAACACCTTCTACTTTCTTTTATCTCCTGTTCTTTTTTAGTTCATCAACTGTTTTTTCTTATCTATTCCCTGGCTACCATGGATAAAAGAAGTGATCAACTTCACATATACTTTCTGCCTATGATGGCTCCTGTAACACCCCAGAAAAAAATTTGAGCTAAGACTCGAACCGTCCTTCGTTGTGAGTAGGATTTTATTAAGGAATTTAAAATTTCATAAGTTTTAAGGCCACTAGATATAGCACCTCGAGTTCCAAAAAGAACTAAATTGGAAATAGCAAAATCTGAAATTTTGCAAGTTAAGCTAAGTATGAGTTTTGGGTCGACTTCAAACGATCATAACTCCTAGCACTTGATGATTTAGGTGTGCTACAAGATACCGTAGGAAATATCTTTGAATTATCTTTCCAACGCCACCAAGTTTGCTAAGTTTCGAGTTCGGATGAGTGAGATATGACATTTTGAAGTTAGGTTGTCCAGTTAAGGAAAGTTAGCCGAAAATAGTAAGGGGTATTTTGGTCTTTTCCTTACCCAATCAGATTTAATTTATTTTTTAGTAAGGTTTTAAGGGTCTAATACTATTAGGTTCAGTTTTATAATCCTAAAATTAGCCTAGGGTTTAGGTGGGAGTTCAAGAAGAGAAAAGAAGAGAAAAAAAGGAGAAAATAGGAGATGATCAAAGCATTCGTCGAGAGTCTTGCGTTTTGTTGCGTTCAGTTTTATAATCCTAAAATTAGCCTAGGGTTTTAGGTGGGAGTTCAAGAAGAGAAAAGAAGACGGATTTTTGCCATGGGTTTAATCCCTAAGAGGTATGTAAGCTTCTCTAGAGTTGGGTTTGTTCACCCACACGCCAATCATATTATTTTCAGCGAAATTTCATTCTTGAAGTTGGAAGATTAGAGTTCTTGAAGTTCATTCTAAATCTTGTTGTGTTGGATTTTGGATGATTTCTTGAGATCAAAGTGAGTGTTTTAAGGGATGTATTGAGTAGATTAGAGTGTACTTATGTTAAGTAATTGGGGAAGAAACCGTTCGATTCTAGGCGAGTTAGGGTGAGAAAACGAGCAAACAAAGTCATCGAAGTTTTCTGGGTTGGGGCTTGGCGCGATGCGCCTGGCAGAGCGCCCCAAACCCTCCTCTGAAGTTTAGGGGCTGGCACCCCACGCCACCCATAGCGCCAGGGTCGCCTGCCCCATCCAGTTTGTCGTCGGTTGCCCCGTTTGAGTTTGTTTAAAGTGCACCTTCACTCATTTTCGATTCTAACTACTCTAAGCTACTTCTAAACACCTAAAATCATTCCTAACATGATAATAACCTTGAATTCATAATTCACATTCAAGAGAGAGTTAAAATTAGAGTTCAA